AGCCATTGGTTCAATAGTCAAGCATAAGACCAATTGTGGTAACGGTGCGTATTGTTATGTGCAGTGGCAAGAAAATACTGTTGAGATCTTTCTTTCAGGGAGAAACACGAAAAAACAATCAAAACCGAAACATACTTACAAGTTGTTAGCTAGAAATATAAGAGATCATGAAAAGTTAACGGTATAATAATAATATACCAACAGGCAAACTTACTCTCATGGTCAATTGCCCAAGACAATCACCTGTGCAAATGACCTCTTCTGACCCTACTCCTTCTCTCCCTGTCTCTCTCTCTCTCTCTCTCTCTCTCTCTCTCTCTCTCTCTCTCTTTCTCTCCCTCTCTCCGCGCTGTTACATTATAGCGACACTGTCCAAACAGCCACCTGTCTAAGACAACCAATATTCTCCTCGACATTGGGTGTCTGTCTCCGACAATTTCGACTATATTTAATTTCCACAAAACAGTATTATATTTATGAGATCAAAATGTATCCATATTTCTCACAGATCAAACTCTTATTATTATAGCATAGCATTTTGCGTCGTTTTCAGCACTCCTTTAGGCCTTTTTGGTTCATTGGTTTTCTTTTTCCTCTGTCCAGTCCTCTTTGTCTCTTCCTCTCTGTCTCTTTCTCGATATCTTCCTCTCCGTTTGTCTTTCTTTCCATCTACCTATCTTTCTATGTCGCCTTTTCTGTACGCGTCGGGGTATATAAATGTGTTTATGTGTGTTAGTTTGTGTGTGTGTGTGTGTGTGTGTGTGTGTGTGTGTATTGCGTGCGTTTTCGTGCGCATGTGTATATCATATGTGTCTGCATGTGTATTGATGTGTGTTCGCTTTTCCTTGGCAGAGGGGATCACAGTATCCCACTCATATCGTTAAATACACATTAGCAGAGACAACTTCTCCTCTCAAACATTGATCACGTACAATGTACAGGAAAGCACGGGAAATGTTCATTGAGATTAGCACCCACGTATGTTACAAGCGCATGTACAAAGTCCAGAAACTGAATTCGGTAAAAGTCTAATCAAGCACTCCTTTAGGAATTTTTTTTTCTAGACATATTACGCTCATCCGGGTTCTTCACTCTCCGCGAAGCAAAGTGTTGGTCACCATGACGTCATACACGAAAGAAATGTTTGGTTTATTTTTCATAACGGAACTTTAAGTAGAGCGCTTGTTCAATCTCTCAAATTGTTTACAACGCTATGCCTTGTTCTTTGCAAGTCTTGTCAAAGGATGAATTTATCTCATCTATTGTCTATTTGTGGTGGCCGAATTTTGCTATTCAAAAGGCTTTTTAATCCTTTCGTTTGATGCCCATCATCGCTTTTTCTGGACTCCTTTGTCAAATTCTTTTTCTTGCTACTTAGAACAATCAAAACGCTTCTGTCTCAATCCGTTCATCGAACAGGGGCCCAGCTAGTCATTTATATTTCGATTGAATGGATTAATTCATCTCGTCGTTTATCTCTCAATTGGTATACGTTTTACCCATCAGTTTCTTATGCTAAAAGAACAATCGTCGATTAAAGATAGAGGCCTGTGGCGTCTTGCGCTGGGTAGAATTTTCCTTAGCCAGTGGAGTGCATGGATCTATAATAATATTATACGGTTAGCAGTCAGTGGGGGTTCAGTAGACTTTTACCGAATTCAATACCAACAAGCGATGAGATCGGCCTGAGCGATGAAAGAACATCGCTGCGAGGTAAGATCTCGAGCTGAATGCTGTCTTGAACTTCATTTTGTTTTGTTTGGTTTTTTCCTGCTCTGACGTAAATCATTGTGAAAACGCTTAGTTTAGCTTTAGTAAGAGTTTTGCGACACTCGCGACCCAATTAGGTCACATAAATTCCCAAAGATTTGAGTTGTTCCAAGATAGTCACTAAGAAAAGTCAGGAGAGATACGGACGACAGATGTCTGAAAGAAAAGGAGCAAATCACACCGAAGCACTCACCAACCACCTAAGTGTGAACTCTTAAATTACGATCGTCGAAATTGTAGTTTAAGTAGTTAGGAAATAATGGGTGGGGGGGGGGGGGGCTACAGAATGCAACATAAACCGTGATAATTTCGGGCTTAAAAGGATTGGGGGGGGGGTATATTATCTTAGCAGCTGTGATTTAACCTCCCGAAAATCGGATTAATTATGGGAGTAAGCACAAGACAGCACTCAACTCTCGACCGATAAATAGGAAATTCGTTAAAAGTTATCAGAAGGAACACGTCCCGCGTATGTACAACAAGAACAACAACACTATTATTGTAAGTTAGAACACAGAGGGAGAATTCAACGCCAGAGCTGTGGGAACAGTATGAGCATTAGGGAAATAAACGTCCTTTACAAATGCATGTCAAAAACAGCAAAGTATGAAAGGGAGGGGGTAAGGAGAGCAGTGACACATGCGTCATTGCAAACCTTTTGGAAGAAGTACCTTGGGAAAGATGTGGGGCAGGAGAGCCAGAGGGAGGTAAAAAAATAGCATGGATGGACAACATAAGAACATGGACTGGCCTGGATATGGCAGAATGTGCAACCACAGCTCGCGACCGTGAAAGATGAAGAGCCATTAAACGTCAACCTCTGAGTCAGGGATGATGACACCTCCAGGTGTTCCATGTACTTTGGCAATCTATTTCCTCGATGCCTACTGTAACAGCCCGGGCTAAGCTGACACCTCCGGGTGTTCCATGTACTTTGGCAATCTATTTCCTCGATGCCTACTGTAACAGCCCGGGCTAAGCTGACACCTCCGGGTGTTCCATGTACTTTGGCAATCTATTTCCTCGATGCCTACTGTAACAGCCCCGGCTAAGTATCGCGTATCTTTAAGATGGTCTATCAAGTCCAAAATGTCATCACATCTTTTACTCTCTCCTCATCAACCCAATTAATAGATCATTAAGGAGGCTGGCTGCTTTTGACCCTGCTTGTTAGGGACTACAGTTTTGAGAGGGATACAACACCCCAGGACACAGATGAGTAGATACGAGATTATAAAAAGCCTTTCCCACATGGGAATCGAACTCGCGTTTTTCTGTGTGGGGCGGCTAAGTGCTCAACCACTAAACCACAGACACCAGTTTTAAAGAAAGACATCGTGGTGAAATCAGACACTCGTCAAAATAATGAAATCGCTGACAGCAGCATTTTCCTGCTGGTTTGTCAATGTTCAATAAAGTTTCGTGGGTTTTTTTTTTTGGGGGGGGGGGGGGTTGGCTCATCCCCTATTTAATGTTCATTTCAAAACACATCTTGTGTGGGTTTTACTGAAAAATGTTGATTAAAGACACAAAAAATGAACATTTTCATTTTCCAACACCTCTCAAACAATCGAAGTCAATAAAGCTTGGCGGCTATTTTCATGCTAATTTTTAACTATAAAACCAGGCTATCCCCCACCTCCTTCACCAACACAAATCTCGACTTCTAATCAAAGTAGATGGGTATCTTTTTCATCTAAAGACAGGCAAATAAACAAACAAGATTTAAGAGTATGTCAATAACTCCCCATGCCCAAAATCTGATAAGCATCTGATTCCATCACGTCGTGGCAAATGTTGTAGAAATATCACAGTGAACAGGGTGTAGTGGTGAGAGATATACAGGGGCAAGAACTCATGTAAAGGAGAGTCAAGGAATATACAAGGGCAATAATTCTCAACATTCATAGCAAGTCACGTGATATTTTATCATGTAGGTTAGAGAAGGAATGTTAAGTGTGGAATCACAATCCCAGTGGAGCAGCGCTATACAAACACACTTACACACATACGCACCCACAAGCACACACACACACGCACACACACACACACACACAAACACGCACACACACACACACACACACACACACACACACACCCACCCACACACACACACACACACATATTTGAGCGCACCATTTGAGCCACACGAACGGCACGCAACAGAAGCTACTCTAGCTTTGTAAATCCTATGCAGATAGTTACAGACAGGGTAATCTATGATGCTGAGAAAATGAATGACAAAACATTACACTGCGTACAAGATGTAGATTAGCCCTGCCCTGCCGTTCACTAAAGTTGGTGTGTGTGTGTGCCTCTGGCTTTGTAGAACGAGTAGAATCTATATTTAAATCTAATGCGTAGTTTGGACCTCCCAAATGCACTAAAATGTTATAGTCGAGATCGTGAACATTTAAAAGTCAATGACGACACCAGATTTGTGCATTCTTGTACACTCACCATTTTTTTGTTTTACCATTTTGACGTAAATAACTGTAATAAAACCGTGAATTTCAGTAGGAAAAACTGAAAATAGTGCAAAATGAAACAGAACTTTCTTGGAATGTGGACATTAATATTATGTCAGGGTTTTTTGCTCAAAGGGAACATTTTTCAACTTTTTTGACAGATACGGTAAAACTTTCCTGATGTCGGACATTGGAACTACTACTAGCAAATAGCATGTATTCAAAAGCGTCTGTGTCTAATTCATACAAGTGTGCAAAAGCAGACATACAAACAAAACAATCTGCGTATCATTCTAACAAACTACAACAATATTATTGTGATATTCAATCTTCTCATTATCATTATCATCAATGGCATCATGTTGGTAAAGTTGTCTGCCCTGGAATGGTATTAATGAACTTGGTAGCCTTTGTATGCATGTTTATGTTTTTAAAAGGATTGTATCTATAGATACATAATTATATGTATACATGGTCGTTTTAAGGACAAGCGGGCTAACCCAGATTTCGGGGGTTTCCAGAAATCTTGACCTACACCAAAAGTTAGAATTGCCCAACGTATAGGAGAAGTTTGGTTTCATTGGTGTGCATATTTGTTTTTGTTATAGAGAAAACTTTCCTTATCTTTTAAAGAAACTGAACAAAGGGCAAAAACTTTACCTTCGATTTTCTCAAAACAGGCATTTTTCGGGATAGCCCCCTAGTGTTAAAAGCGACCATATATGCCTGTGTATGTGTATATGTGCGCGTATGTACGTGTGTGTGTGTGTGTGTGTGTGTGTGTGTGTGTGTGTGTGTGTGTGTGTGTGTGTGTGTGTGTGTGGGTGAGTGTGTTTGCCATAGCAACCCAGTTCCCCCCATACGGGGATCAGTAAAGTGTAACTGATTCTTTTCTTGGTCCATTTATTTAGTTATTCTTCTATTTCATGCCTTTATTGAATGATTTATTTCAATCCCTTAACTCCGTCCCGCCCGAGACGTCCCCCAGCATGGTGTAAAGATTGGCCACAGAGCCCAACATGGCGTTCCCGCTGTCCTGGCACTGGGTCAGCTGTTTCTCCGGCAGAGTCGTGTCACATTCGCGGGGGTGGTACCTGGGGGGGGGGGGCGTAGGGACAAAGAGAGAGAGAGAGCGGATTGTAGGAAACTGTCACAACATTGTCAGTTAGCTACGTGGTTAGTTTGTTAATTAACCCTATCCGTACGTCGTGTTTTTACTATCGTATCCACACGAATACGCCGCGGAGAACTCTGTGCCACCACTTTCCAAAGAGGAAATGTACACGTCAATTCGATCGGTACGCTTTGCATAGCAATATATCAAAATGATTTTTTGAGAAGTACTGAACGTTTCAAAGAGATCTCCGTACTAGAAGTATTCTAAAATGTGAGGAATACAACCCCGCGGGTACAAAATGACCCCTGGGCGTACGGATAGGGTTACGGAGTTGGAATCTCCGAATCAACGTCTGCTTTGGGGGTGGGGGTTAACTTGGGGTCTTTAGGGGGTGGGGGGATCTGGAGACATAATTATTGTTAACTTTTACTTCTTCATCTATACAGGGTAGACAAAATTATCCTAAACTTTAAAGCCTCGATCAATACAACTTAGGTTGTTTGAAAGGATGGGTCTCCAAATTTAACTTCGATCTCAGATAGGAGCTGATGGTACCTAGGGGTCAGAGAATTGTTGGAGACTGTTACGTCACTGACAGTAATACTGTTGTACTGACAAGATCTTTCGTTGTCTATGTCTGGGTACTCATTCCCACCTAGGTGAAGTGAGGAAAATTCGTGTAAAGTGTCTTTCCCACGGACACAACGTCGGGCCAGTGGCTCGAATCCCTGAACCCGCAACCTCACGATTACGAGTCCGGTAGCCTAACCACTAGACCATCGACGCCACTATATATCTGAGAGGCGGAATGCTCCGATAGGACTGGTTGGAGACCAGGGGGGAGACTGAAGTGTCAACTTTTACGCCTCTATAAATATAATTGGGCTTTTTAAGAGACAGGATCTCCGAATTTAACATTTGACCCAGACAGGACCAGATGGTGCTATGGGAAACGGAAATATTGTGTAAACTTTTACACCTCTACTATAAATATAACTGTGCTTTTTAAGAGACAGGATCTCCGAATTTAACATCTGACTCACACAGAACCAGATGGTACCTATGGGAAACGGAATTATTGTGTAAACTTTTACACCTCTATAGATACAACCAAAGACAGTACATAACAAGATGGGCCACTCAGCCAAAAAAGTGCCCGCCGGAAGTCCACTCTTTGCTTCAGATGGCGCTGCAGTCTGTTTTGAAGCTCTCTTTCGTTTTTCCAGAAGAAGAATAGGAATAGCACCTCCTTGCGTGCGCAGATCGACTGCTGTTCATCAGCAGTTCGGGTTCGTTCAGTGCGAAGTTTTAGGTTTTAAAAAATTTTAATGACCACTCGCCTTTCAATACTTTCATTCTATAGTCAAATTAAAAGAAGAAAACAATCACCCCTTCCTCCGGGAGAGGTTCTTGTCAGCGTAACCATTAAAAAAAGCGTTCTTCCGAAAATTACCCCAAAACTTGCTAGTTTCACTTGGATTTTTTAAACTCAAGTAGGGTAACTCTGTTCGCAAAGGGAGCGCATTTGCGAAGAGGGCGCCACCGAATTTTGAGGACACTTTTTTAATTGGCCCAAACAGAAGAGTGGCCGCTCTTGTTATGTTGACTCTTTGATAAAACTGAGGTTATTAAAAAGATCAGGAAACCCAGGAGAGATAGCCCATAGACTTACTAACGGGTTGGTGTACATTGTAAAGTTAAATCATTTCAATTTCGAATTCTCTATTGAGAGTAAGATGTTTAAGGCCCTTGTGTCGAATCAAACTACGTTAAAAAGTCAAAATACCCTAAGTTACAAGGTTGATTTTTTTTTCTGTTGTTGATTTAAGCAGGTCACAGAAATCGATGTACAGAAAAGTGGGAAACAGTGAATAACATCAAGCGGCTAGCCCAGGATAGGGAAAGGTGGAAAGTGTTTGTTCGTGGCCTATACCCTGATCCAGGGTGAAAAAGGCAATGATGATGATGAAGATGATGATGATGATGATGATGATGATGATGATGATGATGATGATGATGATGATGCTTTTAGCAGACAATAGATCCGTACAAGGTCTCAGGGTTTCAAGTCAAAGTTCAAAGGTCACCTGTGTATCATCCCTGCGTCCGAGCCCCTGACCAACATAAGGCTGGCGTTGAGGCATCTCTCGAAGAAATCTACGTCCTCTAGACCCCAGCCTTTGATGTCTGTCTTGAAGCCTCCGGCTCTGAGGAGAGGGAAGGATGATGGTATTGTTAGAGAGAAATACAGTACATTTAAGGTTGTTTAGTGGTGGGTGGAGAAGACAGACAGACAGACAGACAGACAGACAGACAGACAGACATGTCAAAGGATTGGTATTGTTAGAGAGAAACACTGTAAGATGGTCATTGAGTGGTGGAACAGACAAACAGACAGACAGACAGACAGACAGACAGACAGACAGACAGATAGACAGACAGACAGACAGACAGACAGACAGACAGACAGACAGACAGACAAACACACATAACAATCATAGAAATGATATTGTTGGAAACACAGTAAGATGGTCATTTAATGGTGGGAAAGACAGAAAGACAGATAGTAAACAGACAAACACATACATACTGTATGATAGATATGTCGATAAATAGGATTGTGTTTATAAGTTGTGTATCTAGAAAGCTGTCCAGTACTCACTTGACCAGATCTTTCTTGTAGACGGCCCCAATACCGTAGCTAAAACTTCTCCACAGCCCCACCTCGTCCCTCCGACTGTTGAGCAAAGTGTCACAGTCTTCTTGTTTGTAGCAGATCGACTCCGGGCTGGGGACACACACACACACATACAATTACACACTAACATACACACACAATTACACACTAGCATACATACACAATTACACTCTAACATACACACAATTACACACTAACATACACACAATTACACATTGACATACACACACAGTTACACATTGACATACACATATGTGGACACATACACAAACACAGTAATACGCCCTCTGGTTTAGACTCCAGGTGACCTTCATCTCCTTCAATCGCAGATGTCTCGACTTCTATTCAAGAGAGATGGGAATTTTTCCCCCAAAGGCAAGACAAAACGAACAAGCTTTGAGAGGACAACAATAGCTCTTTGTGCCCCAAAAACTGACAGGCGCCTGATTCCACTGTGTCGTGACACTGGCGTATTGTCCAAATAGAGGTTTCTGGATCAACACTGATGTATTGTCCCAATAGAGGTTTCTGGATCAACACTGGTGTATTGTCCCAATAGAGGTTTCTGGATCAACACTAATGTATTGTCCAAATAGAGGTTTCTGGATCAATGACTACCATACTCTCAAGCAGTCTCCAAAAGTGTTAGAAAAATAACAGGTCTATGTAACCTTTAGATCGTTCTTGGAAAAAAATTCAGCCCCCTTCCACTCCACAAAAAACAACCCAAAACATCATATAACCACAAAAAAATCCAAAAAAAAAATCAAACAAACAAACGCAAAAGCAAGTCAATAATTAAACAAAAGCAGAAAAAAGGAAACAAAAACAAACAAAATAAAATAATCATATAAAAAGGAATGACAACTCGGAATCCAGCATGACATACTTCGCGGTTGGGTAATTTTGTAAAGGCCATAATTCTGATGTAAAGCCATCCTATCATTTCCTTCAAATGCTCTGTGGTGGAGTCGGTAACCTAGTTTGTAGCAATCGTGAGGTTACGGGTTCGGGGGTTCGAGCGATAACTCGGTCAGACTTTGTTTTCCTGTGAAAGGCATTTGTGAGGCAGCGTGGTGGAATCAGGCTCTCGTCATAATAATCAAAGTGAAGAAACTTGCTTTTTTCTGTTGGTTTGTGAATTTTTATCAAATTTTTGGTTTTTGGCTCAACACCTTTCATGCCTATTAAAAAACTTATTTATGTGTGGATTTTTCTTAAAGACGTTGATTAAAGGCACAACAAATGTAAATTTTCAGTTACCACGGACTCTTAAGCTAAGGATATAACTAATCTTTGGCGGCCATTTTCTCACTAATTTTACCTCTAAAAACAGGTGACCCCCACCTCCTTTCTTTCCAAATATCTCGACTTGTATTCAAGATATATGGATATTTTAAAAATCCCAATAAAGACAAATGAACAAGCTTTACGATGATACCATTAACTCTACATGACCAAAAATTGACGAGAGCCTGATTCCACCACGCTGCCTCACATTTTACACGAATTTCCCATTTGGCTAGGTGCTTTCAGAAGTTGACGCCTAACTCGGAAGTCCCGCCTATAGATAATTTAAGTGTGTTGATAGAGGCATTATTCCTATACCATTTCACAAGTTCAAGTGCTATGGTGTGTAGTCTCCACTTATATAAAGCGTCTTCAGTGTACGAACTCTATTGTTTTAGCCAAGTGTTATTTAAACCCTTTATTTTTCATGTTCCCGTTCAGGTCTCACTTGCAAAGCACAATGTAGATGACCTAAGCGAGTGTATGGTTAATTATTTGTAATTGCTCAAATATAATTTTGTCTCGTAATTAGAACAGCTGTATAGTTTTTTAAAACTTGTAACAAAAAGAGGAATAGACGGGATTTTGACCTAAGGGATCAGGTACAGATCAGCTGTTACTTTTGAGAAATATTACAGAAATACAATGACTTGAATGCCCCAATTACTTTTTACTTTGTGGGCTTTAAAATGTTTTTGACATTATAGACTAAGACTAAGACTAAGAGGTCCCGTGGAATTTGTCTTGCAATGTATGGCATTCTAAGAACAAAATGAAACAAAACAACTGCATGAAATGCAAAGTTGCTGTGTCCTGGTTGAAAGAGAACGGTCTGCACCCTATTAAATAGATCTGGAATTAAACAAGGCTATATTCTATCCCCGATACTTTTTAAAGAAATGTGCTTAAATGCTAAGATTGGAGGAAGTGGCCAGTGACACACAAGCGTGGTATCGACTGTTCTCTGCCTTATGTACCTGACGGTACACGGAGAGGGTTAAGGTTTTAAAAAACAAAACAATTACAAAGCAGGCTGTCTTGCGTTACTCACGTGTAATGTACAAAGTAGATGGGGAAAGAGGCGTAGTGAAAAGACAGTGTGTATTTACAAAAAGAACAAAATCCAATCAGACTCACTTGTAATGCACAAAGTAGATGAAAAAGAAGGTGTAGTCAGAAGTTACCATGTACCAGCAAAAAGAACGATATCCTATGTGACTCACTTGTAATGTACAAAAACCTATGTGACTCACTTGTAATGTACAAAGACCTATGACTCACTTGTAATGCACAAAGACCTATGACTCACTTGTAATGCACAAAGATCTATGTGACTCACTTGTAATGTACAAAGACCTATGACTCACTTGTAATGTACAAAGACCAATCTGACTCACTTGTAATGTACAAAGACCAATCTGACTCACTTGTAATGTACAAAGACCTATGACTCACTTGTAATGTACAAAGACCTATCTGACTCACTTGTAATGTACAAAGAAGACCAATCTGACTCACTTGTAATGTACAAAGACCTATGACTCACTTGTAATGCACAAAGACCTATGACTCACTTGTAATGCACAAAGATCTATGTGACTCACTTGTAATGTACAAAGACCTATGACTCACTTGTAATGCACAAAGACCTATCTGACTCACTTGTAATGCACAAAGACCTATGACTCACTTGTAATGCACAAAGTAGATGGGGAAGAAGGCGGAGCGGCCCTGCACGGTGTACTTGGAGACTCTGTAGAGAAACTGGGGAGAGAACTCCATGTCTACGTCCATAAACAGGAGCAGAGAACCGTGCGGGAGGTCGGCCTGGGCCGCCATCAGACCTGGTAGACAGAGGAGGGGAATTAGTGAATAATAATTCAATCCTGGCTCTGAATTTCTCAGATGGGTTACCAGGAAAGGAGTCATAAAAGATTACAGCTTTTCTGGGAGCATCCGGCAGGGCAAAGACCTGCAAGACAGGGCGAGGGAGACCATCATCATCATCATCATCATCATCATCATCATCATCATCATCATCATCATCATCATCATCATCATCATCATCATCATCATCATGTACCAGATATGCAACAATTATCGGCTTCCATTTTTCGCCATCCATTCCTTTTCTCAAATGCTTTGTAAAAAAAGAGAACTACTATAATTAGGCCTTTTAAATTTTATCCTGATCTTTCCACGTCACCAACGTGTAAGGGAGATAAACGAAAAAACAAAACAGCAAACACAACGTTGGAAGTTGACAAGAGTTGTCTTAGTCTAGAGAACTACAAAAAATGGGACATACCCTTGTTTTTTCTGTACTGTTGGTTTCAATACGTAGATAATGTTGTTGCTGTTGTTGTTGTTGTTGTTGTGTGCTCTTATTGTTTTACTAGTTACCGGTTGTAATAAATGTACTACAGATAGATAGATAGACAGATAGATAGATAGGTAGATAGATAGATAGATAGATAGATAGATAGATAGATAGATAGATAGATAGATAG